GTCTGCTTTATTATTAGTTCCGATCTAGATTTGTACACAGGCAAGAGCGCAGGTAGAATGTTCCCGTAGCCCTCATGGCAACGGCATGCAGGCATGCAGACCACCTGTACAGCTCCCCTGAGCAGTCAGGAGCAGTTGGGACTCCCTGGAAAGCTCTTCCAGAGGCAGGAAAATGGGCAAAATGACCTCTCAGTGACCCTGCTGACCAACCGTAAGGACGTGCCACAGGCATCAGTTAGCACATCTGAGAGGATTCAACAGAAAGGTACGGAGACCCTATTACCTAAAGTAACACAGAAGCCACAGCCAACAAGACTGACAGCAAGAAGGAGACATCAGAATAGCCTAGTTTAATACTGCTGAGGGATCAGCACCCCAAACTCCCACCAAGCCAGAAAGTCTCTGCCCCTCTGTGTTTCCTGCACATCAAGAATGGGGTTTGGTTAAGCAAAGTCTTTGGACACGGCCTCCACGAAGTTGGGCGCGGACATCAGAATGCCGATGGTGCAGATGATGGTGAAGACGGAGAAGGCCATGAGGCACAAGCGGTCCACCACACACGCCGCGAACTTCCACTCGCTGCACACCACCTCGCTCTCATCCTGGCAGCGGAAGCGGTTGGCGATGTAGCGCACCTCCTCTAGGATCTTGGCCAGGTCTGGGTCCACCTCGGGGGGCTGCCCACCATGCAGAAGGTGCTCGTCGTGTGTGGGGGAGCAGGCCATGCGGCCGCACACAACCCCAGAGTCCGGGGTCGGGGCGCAGTGCATGCCATCCAGGCCTCGGAAGCCGATGTACAGCAGGTTCCCGTTGCTGGCTGGCGGCGCGGCCACAGCGCTCATCTCCACGCTGGCCAGGCTGCAGCGGCGCTGCTTGTGCTGGCAGGCAGGGCGGACCTTGTCCTCCCCCGGCCGCTTCATGCGCAGGAACCATGCACACCAGTTCAGAAGGATGACTCTGGTCTGGGGAGACAAGAGAACAAACATCAGCTTATCCTGACAGCAACAGGATCCTGTAAATGAATGAAAAATTCACTGAAGAAATGGACATATAAAAAAATAGATTTCATATTGGTATTGAGTATGTTGGCTACTTGCTTTCCCAATCTCATGATACTTTACTAAGAAGAACGTTCTTCATAGACAACTACCTGCACACACAAGAGAAAAACACAACTGAATTCAAGTGAGAGGAATAAGGAGAGGGAAGGAGAGAGGGGGTCTGGTGGGCTCTCACCTAATGTGGATGATGTTAAGATGTACAGCGCACCCTCTGGGTCAAGGGCTCAAATGCGACATTACCTAACAAATGCAAATAATATAACCTAATCATTGTACCTGCACATTAATCTGAAATTTAAAAAAACTAGAACTTCTAGAAATGAAAAATTCATTTAAGGAAATACAGTGGCAAACTTTAAGAATAAACTAGATCAGGTTGAAAAAAGAATTTCAAAGCTTAAAGATAATTCTTTAGAATTAACCCAGTCAAAAATAAAGAACAAAGAGTCAAGAGAAACAAACAAAGGCTACAAAAAATGTGATTACGTACAACAGCCAAATATAAGAACCATAGGCATTCCTGATGGTGAAGAAGAAAAAGCACAGGGCTAGAAACACATTTGAGAGAATTATTGAGGAAATAATAAACAGGATTCACTATATAAACAGAAGCAAAAACCAAGACCCTATGATCATCTCAATAGCTGCTAAGAAAGCATTCAACAAAATCCAGCACCTTTCATGATGAGAGCCAAATCCAAACCAATCATAGAAGGCACGTTTCTTAAAATGATTAAAGTCATATACGATAAACTCACAGCCAATATTATACCTAATGGGCAAAAGATGAAAGCACTTCTCCTAAGAACTAGAGCAAGGTAACGGTGCCCACTGACCTGCTTCTATTCAACATAGTACTGCATGCTCTAACCAAAGCAATCAGACAAGAGAAAGAAAGAAATAAAGGATACTCTAATCAAATAGGGGGAGTTCAAACGATCACTTTTCATTGATAACATGAATAACATGATCTTAGGTCTAGAAAATCCCAAACACTTTACCAAGAAACTCCTGGAATTGATAAATAAATTCACCAAAATCTCTTGTTATGAAATCAATGTACACAAATCGACAGCATTTCTATTAAATATATACTAGTTAACAGTCAAGTTGTGAATCAAATCAAAGACTCAGTACTGTTCAAAATAGCCACAAAGAAAATAAAATACTGAAGGATACACTTAACCCAGGAGGTGTGAAAGATCTCCACAAGGAAAATTATGAAACACTGAGGAAAGAAATCACAGATGACCCAAATGAATGGGAAAACACATAATGCTCACAGAGTGGTAGAATCAACATTGTTAAAATGTCCATACTGGCCAAAGTGATTTATAGATTCAATGTAATCCTCATCAAAATGCCAATGTCTTATTTCACAGACCTAGAAAAAAATAATTCTATGCTTTGTTTGGAACCAAAATGAAAAACCTGGAGGCATCACATTATCAGACTTCAAACTATTCTACAAGGCTATAGTAACCAAAACAGCATGGCACTGGTACAAAAATAGAGAAACAGACCAATAAAACACAAGAGAGAACCCAGATACAAGACCATCCACATACAACCAGCTGATCTTTGACAAAGCAGACAACAATATACACTGGGCAAAAGAAGCTCTACTCAGTAGATGATCCTGGGAAAACTGGATAGGCATATGCAGAAAAATGAAACACAATCCAGTTCTCTCAACACTCACAAAAATTAATTCAAGATGGATAAAAGACTTTTAATAATAAGGTATGAAACCATAAATTCTAAAAGAAAATGTAGGAAAAACTCTTATAGATACTGACTCAGACAAAGAATCTATGACTAAGACTTCAAAAGCACTTACAGCAGTAACAAAAATAAATAAACGGGACTTGGTTACTTTCAAATAAAGGGCTAATATTCAGACTCCACTTGCTCAAATAAATCAGCAAGAAAAAAAAAAAAAATAACCCCATTAAAAAACTGGGCAAAAGACATGAACAAAGGCTTTTCAAAAGAAGATAGACACAAAGCCAACAAACATGAAAAAATGTCACTAATCATCAGGGAAATGCATATGAAAGCCACAATGAGATATCACCGTACCCTGTCAGAATGGCTTTCATTAAAGTCCACAAACAATAGATGCTGGCGTGGATGCAACAAGAAACGAACGCTTATATGTTATTGATGGGACTGCAAGTTAGTACAACCGCTGTGGAAATTAGTAATGAGATGTAAACTTATCATTTGATCCAGCAATCCCACTACTGAGTATCTACTTAAATGAAAAGAAATCATTTTATTGCAAAGACACTTGCACTCCAATGTTTATTGCAGCACAATTCACAACTGCAAAGGTGTGGAATCAACCCAGGGGCTCATTAATTCATGAGTAAATTAACAAATATGTTCTACCTATACCATAGAGTACTACTCAGCCATAAAAAGAGATTAAATAATGTCTTTTGCAGCAATCTGGATGGAACTGGGGAACTTTATCCTAAGTATTTTGAAAATGGACAAACAAGCACTCTCTAATAATTTAGAACTAATTTATGGACAAACATGGGCACAAAAAGAAGTAAAAATTACCAGAAATCAAAAGGACAAAGGAAGTGGAGGGAAGGGGTAAAAACCTACTTAACAGGTGCAATGAACACTGTTAGAGTGATGGGTGTACTTACTTCCCTGACTCAAGCATTATAAAAGCTATCCATGTGACAAAACATTTGAAACCCCTTAATATTTTGAAACAAAAAAAAATATTTTTGAAATTGTCCAGAAAAATAAAAGGTCCCATTTCATCGATCCTGGGGATAACAAACTCCATCTTCTCTCAGCTAATCCTGCACACACACCAATGCTTGTGCATTTAGAGGTAGCTGAGTCAAATTTGAGGCCAGAATAAAACCCTTACAATCACCCTGGAAACAAGCTGAATTTTTCACGGGGGCAGGCGCACTGCAGTCTCGGGGAAGACAGCCTGTGAGATGAGAAGACTGCCTTGGTAACAGGGCCCCTGAGCTGTGTAAAGAAGGCACGTCACTCTCCTTGCTGATCCTTCCTCATCTGTAACCATGGGACCATTGGACCTAACACGGGCTCCCAGGTTATGTGTTAGGTGCTCTGGAAGGTGATGGCAAGCTCACGGGAGTGCCTGGAAGATGGTAAATGTTCAAGGGCAACTCCAGGACATCCATCAGACATCACAGTACAGGCTTCTACTGTGAGATCACCACATCCCTTGCAATGGCAACCTATCTTTGCAACTCTGATGGCCACAGTTGCCCTGATATAAAACCAAGTACTGAGAAGTCCATGTGAAACAGAAAATGAAGGCAGTGGTCTCCAATCTGATACCAAGATTTGAGAGGCCACGCTGTCCCCGACACTGTTGAAACACAAATACTGAAGTTGTTTTGATCTCTTTTATGAAGAGAGCATTAGGTATCATTTCTTTTGGCCTAAGGGATGTGCGAAAAAATTCCTGAGATTCTAATGTGCTGTGAACAAGGAAGTTTAGGAACTTCTAACCTAAATCATTAAAATGAAGACCAAAGTACTTTTCCTGAAAAGACCAGATAGTAAATATCCAGCAGGGATGTCCAACCCAATGCCCAGGAGCCACATGCAGATTATGTGAGGATGTTTTTGTTTATCTTTGGTGGCAGAGATCATGAAAATTATGCATGGACCTTTTTCTTTTTTCCTGTCATGGGATTTTGTGTTTGTGTATTTAATGTGTGGACCAGAGAAGCAAAAAGGTTGGACACCCCTCCAAGGTCTCTGCCAGACTACTCAACCTACTGCCGTAGCACACATGGAAAACCTGCCAGTGATAGGTATGGCTGTTTTCTCATAGAAGTTTGTTTACAGAAACAGGAGGCTGCATTTGGCCACTGGGGCTATAGTTTGGTAAGCTCCGTTCTAAAGTGTCTTATAAACATATGATGCCTACACACAGGGCATGCATGGGAGCAGCTAGAGAAAAAAAACCTCCCTGAGAGTTTATAATGCTTTTGCCTCTCATGAAAAGACAGGAGAGATCAGAAGCCTAAATCCAGGTTTAAGAACAAACAAAAAAGACCCTTGAAAGCATATCTAGATAAATGTAAATAAATGTGTAAGAAGTGGACCCTTTCCCTGAAATTCTCTAGCTCCTGATTGTATCTACATTTTGTTTTATGATGATGGGGAAACTTCATCAGCAACCTAGCAGGTACATATATTGCATCTGTACTGCAGACAGACAGTAGTGGGAAAGATCACGTCTGCAGGGATTTCATTCTGGGTAATCTTTTCATGACATCGTCTCGAAGATAACGGCAGCAAACAGGTCTGGAAACAGGTGACGAACGGATAAGAAAGCATCAGGCCAGTCCCATTGCGGCTGTAAAGACAACTCTTTGCAATCTGTGTATTTGGGAAAAGCCAGGTCTGCTAACCTTGGAGGGGCACAGACACACTGTCTGGTGTATGGGCTGGGCCCTCTGTACGAGGTTCATGAGATGCGTCTTCACCTCACCCCCTGGCCTCTGTGAAGTGTTTCATACCCCTACTTTCCAGCAGACAAACTGAGGCTCAAAAGCTAATAAATTGGCTCAAGGATATATAGTGAGCGAGCTGTTATGTCACTTAACACCTTGATTAGACGTCCACTGCCTCATGTGTAAAAGAGTCCATGAGATTCATTTCAAAATCCTAGGACTTTAGCCCCAGCCCCCTCTGGGAGGCAGATTTGCAGGGAGACTGCTGGGCAGTTAAGTGTGTCTGAACACAGCGGAGCAGTGCCCCTGAGGTGCTGGGCAGCAGCAGGCACTTCTGCCCCCACCACCTGGGGGTCTGCATGTGTCCCCTGGTGCATATCTCAAGCTCTTACGATCCATACCGCCAAGTCAGTTTTGAGTCCCATGGCCTGAATCATTAGTTTTTAAAGCTGAAGCATCTCAAGAGATAAAATCATCCTCCTGGCACTTTTCAAACTGTGCTCATGACCTCTTCTGTTAGGCTACAATTTTGTTTCTAGCTGTGCAAATGTCATATAATGCCACTGCACCCGGCGGGGACTTCCTCATGGTAACAGATCATAATAAAAGCCCCTCAGAGGCTGTTTATGTTTCAAATACACATTGGAAGGAAAGGGAAAAATGCCACGTGCTATATAAAGCAGGAGAGAGGCATAAGCTTCATCTTTCATTTGCAGCCAATTGGTTTTAATAAGCTTTTATGCTGAGAGGTGAATAATTAGCATATGTTCTTAATTAAGATTATTCTGGAGCAGGAGAGGGCTCCAGGTCATTAAAAATGGTTATTTTGTATCTTAATTCCATCATTTTCCCATCCGTCAAAATAATTACAAGAAATAAAAATAAGTGTTTATATTTTCATATTTGCATAAATAAACACTGGAAGGAAAAGGAGAGAATTCTCAAAATGCATATCAGTACTGGTGACAGATGTAGGGGGAGGGGCAGGAACGGGAGCAGGATTGCTTATGGTTACCTTTATTTTGACTTGTGATACGGTAAATATGTAATATTACCTGCTTCAGACAGAGCGACAGACACACACACTCACACACATACTCTCTCTCTCTCTCACACACACACATACACACACACACACACACACACACACACGGCCCCAGCTAGCAGCTTGGCCTGATGTCTAGCCTACATGTGTCAAGGTATAGAGAATTCAGACAAGAATGGGGGTAAATGTGTGCAAATGTACCCCGGCATTTTAAGGAGCAGCCTTCTCAGAATAGGCCTCAGGCACTTCAGTCATGTGATCTGTGAGAGATGCCACCATTTACCAGTAGGCTGAGCTCTCATTAATGCTGAAGGTCTTTATTTAGTGTGTGATGGGAAAAAATAATTTCTGAGAGCAAACAGTAACTTTAGAAAGCAATTTTATAAAAAGCAATCTTTCCTAAGTTAGCATTGGATAACTGTAAATTATTGCACAATGAATGTTTAGGAGGCTGAGAAACTCCCATGCCTGGAGGGTGATGAAATGCCCATCACACCTCACAGCTGTGTCCAGCAGTATGTGACTCCAGTGCTGGAGCACAAGCCGTGTCACTAAGGAGCATGCTCGTTATAACTACACTTGATGCAAATACAAGCAGATGGTGAAGACATGTGAAGATAAAACTCTTTGTTTAGAAATGCCAGATTTTGCTTGATACAGGAAGAGCGCCCCTTAGGGAGGGGCAGGAGGAACATACCCACTTGGGCATCTTGCCCCCATCAGGGTCATGGTGGTGGTACCGCAGCACGATCACTGTCACCACCACAGACAGGCTCACGATGATCATGGTGCTGGCAAAGTACTGGGCTGTGGAGAGAAGACATGAGGTGAGACCCGAGGGCTCCCCCGGTCCTCAAAGTTACAGGACAGGTGTACCCTGCCATGGGGACCTCAGGGTGCAGTGGTGCCCAGGTGCTGGCTAGGCCTGCAGCCTACCACCCACATTCCGGGCGGGCAGAAAGTAGCCTGTGTGGTCTGAGCGCCCACTCGCAGTGTGGCCTTGCCTCACTAATCCCACTCCCAGGCCCTCTGTCTTCCTTGTCTGTCACTGAGAACTAACAGTAACTGGAAGGATGGTGACAGGGCTGCTACCGTAAGTATCACTGGACAGGAAGAGTGTGGGCACCACCATGACTGCCAGCCTCAGATGTGATCTGAGGGTATGACAGGGGAAAACCTGGGGACCACAGGCTGCCCTATCAGCCCTGCACACTTAGGGTGTTAGTCTGGGAAATGAGTCCACCTCCATCTCCTGAGATGCAGGGTGAGGGTGCCAGCTGTCTAGCTTGACAAAGAGGACAGTGACAGTGACTTTTCAGGGCTGGAACCTCAGCTTTCACTTGGCTGGGGCCTGGGTATCTCCATCTAGGCCCAGGAGAGAAACAGCAGGAACATGTGAGAAATTCCCAGTCCCGGTCACCCTGCAGTGGGCGGGGAGCTGGGACTGGCCACTCAGCCTCTCTGGACCTCAAGTTCTTCAAAGGGAATAGTGCAGAGGACTGAATGTGTGTGTCCCTACAAAATTCATGTTAGAACCATAGTCCCAGTGAGAGGGGACTGGAGTCTTGGGGAGGTGCCACATTGTAATCTATAATAACTGACCTCCTCACATTTCCTGGCACACAGCTCCTAAAACCACTGAATCTCCAAGTCACGTGTCCTTCTGTGGGCTAATAAGATGACTGGTGGCTACCCAGGAGCCAGGAGCTACCCAGGAGCTACTCAGGATGGGGGCCAGTTGCCAAAGGAACCAACATTAGCATTAGAGATGGCTTGCTTTGACCTCTGGGAAGCAGAGAATGATGTGGTCTCCTTACAACCCCCAAATGACAGGGTCCAGAGAGCAGCTGGTTGCTGAACTTACAGAGGTGCCCGGTGGGTGGGAAGCCCAGAGAAGCATGGAAGGTCCTTACCCCTTCCCACACACAAAGTACCCCTTCCATCTGGCTGGTCATCTGTGTCCTTTGTAATGTCCTTTATAAATGATATGTCTTCTGTGAGCTGCTCTAGCAAGTGACAGAACCCCAGGATGGGTAGAAGCCTGGGGAGCTGAGACTTGTGGCCACAGGCAGTGAGCGCAGTCTGTGGGTCTGCCCTAGCTCTAGCCAGTGTCAGCACTGCACTGAGCTGTTGCATGCCCAGCTGGTGGGAAGAATCGGTCTGCGTGGGAGAAAACATGCACATCTCTATCAGGAGTGTCTGCTGTGTAAGGAGGGAAATAGCGTTTTTCTGAGGTGAGTATGCCCTGAGGATGGAGCCCTTACCAATGGAACTGGTGCCTTTTGTAAAAAGAAGCCAAGGAGATAATTAGCTCTCTTTCTGCCATGTGGGGCCACAGAAAGAAAACAGTTACCTTTAAACGGGAAGTGGACCCTCACCAGAACCTGATGCTGGCACCCCCACCTCTGATTCCCAGCCCCCAGGACTATAAGAAAGACATATGTGTTGTTGAAGCCACCCAGGCTCTGGTAATATGTTACAGAAGTCAGAACTCAGTTCAGCAAAAAGCCCTTCCTTGTAGGATTAGTGCAAGAATTAGGGATAATATGGGCAAGATCTAGGAGAAAACCTGGCCCAGGCTGGCATAGAGAAGGTGGTTTTAATTGGCAACTATTTTTTTTTTTTAAAGAGGTCAGAATATTTTATTTATTTTTATTTATTTATTTTTGAGACAGAGTCTTACTTCATTCCTCTCAATAGGGTGCCATAGTGTCATAGCTCACAGCAACCTCAAACTCTTGGGATCAAGAGATTCTCTTGCCTCAACCTCCCAAGTAGCAACAGGCACCCACCACAATGCCCAGCTATTTCTAGAGATGGGTTCTCACTCTTGCTCAAGCTGGTCTCAAACTCGTGAGCTCAGGCAATTCATGCACCTCAGCCTCCCAGAGTGCTAGGATTATAGGCATGAGTCACCATCACCCACCATAACTGGCAACTCTTGAGTATTAGACCTTGGGTGTGGTTGCCCCTTCAAGGGGCCTGAGTGTAGGCAGAAAGCTTCATGGTACAGAAGCCCACACCCAGCTTACACCACCACCTGCCCTCAGGCCAGGAAGGAACTCACTGGCCTCCTACAGAGACCAAGAGGTCCCTGGGAAGCACTCAGTCAGAGGAACACATGTGGGACTTAACGTTAGCACCAGGGCCCTCTGTGAAAGGGAAGGAGACTGGGTCAAACTGTGACTGTTAGCCATTGAACTACGCCCCATCAAAAATTCATATGCCAAAGCCCTAAGTCCCAGTACCCCAGAATATGACTATATCTAGAAACAGGATTGGAAGAAATTATGTTAAAATTAGGTTACTATGGTGGGCCCTAATCCAATCTGGTGTCCTTACAAACAAGAGAGGAAAATTGGAGACACAGAGAGACACCAGGGGACAAAACATCATGAAGGTGGCCATCAGCAAACACCTGAGTGGCACCTTGATCTACAGCCTCCAGAAGTGTAAGAAAGTGACATGAAATTTATGTGAACCAGCTTGATGAAAGTATTTCAAAATGTATATGAAAACACTACACTGTACCCCATGTTTGCATTAATGTATACAGCTATCATTTAATAAAAAAAAAAAAAAAAAAAAAAAAAAAAAGAAAGTGAGTTGCTGTTGTTTCAGCCACCCTCTGTGGTATCTTGTTAGTGAAGCCTGAGCAGGCTAAACTAATACAATAGCCAGGGTCAGAGAATTGCATGGCCAGAGGGCAGCAAAGGTGATGTGTGAATAACATCCTGTCCTTCCAGATGTGGGCTGGGCATTGATCAAGTCCTCCCTGGAGATTCCTCAGTCCAGACAAGGCCTGGCAACAGGCCTAGCACAGGCAGTTGTTGTTTCAAGTCTCTATGGAAAGCAACGTTGGAAGGTAGCAAGAACGGGGCCCCTCCCTGTCTGGATGGGACCAAAAGAAATAAAACCACAAAGGCTTCTCAGACCAACAGTTTCTCTGGCCTAAATATTGCACGTCAGGGAGCTCCACAAAGAAAGGCCTTGGCTGCTTGGTTCCTTAACGCGGGGGTATCCATGCAAAGCTCTCCACGGCAACCTATCCCTAGTTAGCCACTCAGGATGGCCTCAGGTAGCAGGGGCCAACCAGCTTGATCACAGACTGCATTTCTAGTCCCATCCCTGACCACCAACCAGGACGAAGACTCTCCTTGTTTTTGCCCTCCCTAGGCAGAAGGCGTAGGGTATTTGTCCCACTCATCTTTCCCCAGAGACTTTTCATTTATACAGAGACTTTGTGTTATCTTGGGAAACAATGTTGCTAAGAGTTGAAGTGTGTGTTTCCCCCTTTTAAACAAAGGTTTTGTGGAGAAACTTTAGGTTAAGCAACAATAATGCATTTCTAATGGTAAAATATCTGGCTTCAAAGCAAGTGTGAGGTGGAGAATTATGGAGGGAAGACGGACATTTCTGCAAGTTAAAAATAAAACTACAAGGCCAGACCACCCCCCTTTCTCTTTTGTTTTTGCGGTTTTTTTGGGCCGGGGCTGGGGCCCGGTTTGAACCCACCACCTCCGGAATATAGGACTGGCGCCCTACTCCTTTGAGCCACAGGCACCTCCCTACCCCCATTTCTCTTACTTGGGCCCAGGTGACTAGAAGCCATGGGTCACTCTTTGAATAGTCACAGCATATCAACCCCTCTGAGAACATGGGTACAGTACAGCCACCTGTCTTTCAGGCCATCTGCCAGGAAATCCCAGGCACTCTTTAACACTTATCTTTAAGAGAGGATTCCAGCTCTTGCCTTACCTATCAATGGCACGGAGTCAGATGTTGCTGGCATGATCTCAGCCACCAGAAGCATGAAGACGGTGAGAGAGAGTAAGACTGTTATCCCTAAAACATAAACACATAGTGGGTCCTTAGAAAAAACAGGCAAGAAGGCCCAGATTTTGTCTAACAGGGATTCCTAACCTGAGACTCCAACAACTAGGGAAGTGCCGGGGAACATTCTGGTAGGCATGGTTTTTCTGCACGTGGGCATGTATGTTCTCCCAGGCAGAGTCTGTGAAGGAGGCAAGCTTGTCTGCCCTCCTGATGGAGACAAGCTGAGGAGCCAGAATTTTGGGGAAGGTCAACACAAATGGAATATTATTTAACTGAGCACAATTACCTCCCATGTTCCTTACTGCGTTAGTACTGAGAGGTGGTTTTCACGCAGTGAGAGAACACGTGGTGAGAAGACCTGGATTCACCAGGGCTCGAGTTTGCTACTCAAAGCCGTGACCTTGACCATGCTCCAGTGTGATTTCTACCACATGCTGCATGTGACCTTTCATAGCTCTTTACTTCACCACGTGAAATCTTAGTCTTCCAACCTTCCTGTGACATGGGAGTGATCACTGGGATGTCCCTGTGTCCAGCATCATACACATGCAAGCTGACATTGTGCCAAACCATTACCTATCCACACTGAATGCTGACCAGTGGCCATCAAGGAACAGGTGGGGCAGCAGGAGGGGAGAAAGCACAGCCCTCTCAGGGCAGAATCAATTGAGCTGGCCCATCCCTGAAATCATTAAGCTTCCAGTAGGGGAGAGGATCTAAGGATCCCACAGTAACCTCAGGAGGGCACTGAGCATGAAATCAGGAGCCTCTGGTGTCCTGGAGACCCCTGGGTCGGGAGGTCCATATGTGATGAGCCACACAGGCCCCTGGGACCCTGACTTGTCCCTGCACTGTCTGCACTGAGCCCTGCAGAGCTGACTTCAAAGAAGGGCCTCCAGTCCCAGGCTCCAACCAGAGATGCAGGCACTGACCCAGGGAGATCTTCTCTCCTGAGTCAGCGGGGAGCAGGAACACCAGCAGAGCGAGGGCAGAGATGAGCACACAGGGGATGAGCAGGTTGAGGCCGTAGAAGAGGGTCCTGCGGCGCATGGTCACGGTGAAGGTGACGTCTGGGTATGGCTCTTTGCAGCACTCATAGAACTTCTCGCTCCTCTTTCCAGGGATCCCTCCATGGAGAGAACAGGAATCATGGTTAGAGTGTAACAAATCACCATGTTTATTCTGACGTGTATGCCACACGGGAGCATCGCCTGGGGGTTTGCTAAATGCTGAAGAATTGGGTAATCGTTTGAATAGACCGTTGCTGGTCCATTATAGAGCTTTTTTAAGAGTCTCAGTGACAGTGCTGCAATGGGTAAATTCTCTTTTGACAGATTGGAAATACATGATTAACAATACACTCTCAATTTAAACTGTTATGAATGTAGTCATTGTTTTTCTTTTGAAAATAGTCAAAAATATATCGACTGAAATTTATTGTGCAACCTGATTCTAGAAACAGAGTGGGTCTGAATAAGGTAGGGATCCCGTCACTGGTGCCGATCTGTTAAATGTGGCCTCACTATAGTTGCAAGCTTCTCTTAGAAAGTGTCATGTTTTCTCACCATTTCCTGTTTCTCATCATCCAGTTCTCAGTAAATTATGGAAAATGCTTCAACATCCAATGCATGCTCACACTGAGATGGACGGTGGAAAAGGCCAAACTTTAGGCCGCCTCGTGTCTTTGCCGCACTTACCCACGAGGTCCCATTCTCCGTTTGGGATATAGCTACTGATGTCTGCCTCCTCCATCTGCAGATCCAGCGACCAGCCTCCGTAAGACCAGGACCCAAACTTGAGTTTGCACTGCTGTACGTCGAAGGGAAACCAGCGCACGTCGATGTAGCAGGAGCTCTTGAATATGCCTACGTGGGGGATGGAAACGGAAGAGCAAATCAGAAGCTGGGGGAGATGTGCTCAAAACACCAAGCAATTCTGCCCGCGTGTCCCACCTGTCCAAACTGCAGCTCACCCTGTCCAGAGGAAACTGCATGCTTGTATTTTTGGGTTTTGGTGCAAAATCTCTAGAACAGAAGCTCACCTACACCTTCACTATCTTTTAAAATTCATGGACAAGCTCTGTCAGAGAAGACTATTTCAAGGACTTTCTCTGCAAAAATAAAAATAACTCCATAAACTTGCAATTGCCATGAGTGTCTTCAGACTATAAATAATAAGAGAAAAATTAAGCAGTGTAAAAAATCTCAGAGAAGTTGATAAAAATGATGAAGGTAATGAAAGTTGAATCTGAGTTGCAGGGTGTGTGTGTGTGTGTGTGTGTGTGTTTGTATGTTTGGCAGGGAGGGATGGGCATTTTCTTTAGGTTAAAAAGTGGGAGGATATTTGATTACCTAGAAATATAATCTAGAATTCTAGTTAAAACTAGAAAAAAAATTTTTTTTTGAGACAGAGTTTCACTTTGTCCCCCTTGGGAGAGTGCTGTGGTATGATAGCTCACAGCAACTCAAACTCTTGGTCTCAAGTGATCCTCTTGCCCAAGCCTCCTGAGTAGCTGAGACTATAGGCATCCACCACAACACCCAGTTATTTGTAGAGATGGGGTCTCACTCTGACTCAGGTTGGTCTTGAACCTGTGAGCTCAGGCAATCCATCCACCTCGATCTCCCAGTTAAAACTGGAATTTTAACAGGTTTAAATTCTATATTAAGAACAGAATAAGAACTGATAGGTTTGAGTTGAGGAGACTGTGCTTGAATAGAGGACAGAGTTTCCACTAAAAACAACTATTCCAGGCTAGGACAGGTGGAAGTGTATTTCCCAGAGGGCCACGGAGGAGGCTGGAGGGGCCACTCCAGGGATTTAACCCATGTGCTCATCCCTACCCAGAGAGAGATAGGAGCTCACTGGAAGCCATATAACTTAGATGTCCCAGTGCCCAGGGAACTGGCTAGGCACTCTGTAAATTTCTGCTACTGAATTAAGGAAAGAATTCATAGAAGAAGGGGCTTAAATACCTTGAAAAGAAGGACTCAACTCTGTAGTCAAGTTGGGAAAAGAGAATACAAGATTCTGTCCTTTTAGATGTAATTTGGGGCACCCATTCTTCATCAGACTCTGGGGTCATTAAGACACTTCTCACCAGTCATGGGCCTGACCCCTCAAAACCCATGTTGTTTGAAAGTTAGAAAACTCTGTGAACTGAAGTCACCCGAGATAGAAGATTTCTAGAGAAGAGCAGAAAGCAGATCAGTGGTTGTCTGGGGCTGGCGATGGCAACAGGGATTAACTGCAAACAGGCAGAAGGGATCTTCATGGGGTGATGGGAGCGTCCTAAATCGAGACTGCAGTAATGATTGCATAATTCTGTAAATATACTAAAATGGTTGAATCATGCCTTTAAAACTCATGATATGTAAATTCTACCTCATTAAAGCTGTTAAAAAATAAACATGTGGGGGGGAGTCATGTTACAATCAAGTCTCCATCTCTAAGCTGGTGCCCAAAATGCTCCCTATCATCCACCCTCCCCTCAGGACAGGCAGAGCAGTTTGTGAGATCAGGTCTACACTCCCCCGGGTGCTGGGGCTGCTGCCCCCCAGCCTGGCCACAGTGCTGGGAGGTCCCCAGTCCTGTCCTGGCCAGGATCCCTGGCTGCTGAGTGGGGACTCAGGAATGGAGCCCTGCTACACACAGTCTGAGGATGGGACCCAGGGTGCTGCTGCTGCTGGGACTGAAAAAAGCCTCAAGCCTTCAAAACAACCTGCAGCACCCATATACTGGTGACTAGGGGGGACTGTTTTCTAAAATAGCCCTTGTAATGGAAGCTGCCATTTCAGGCCTGGTGAAAAAGACCGAGTGTGTGATGTAAGCTCAGCCTGCAGCTTGGGTGCATGGGGCAGCCGGAAGAAAGAAATGCGTGGGGTGTGGATCCGAGGAGCGGCCAAAAGCACCTGCTTTGAGGTAGAAAACTCGGCTGCACAGCTGGACTTCTTCACTCTGGGCAGACATGATGGGAAGTGTGTGCTTCCACAAGTTCCCTGCCTCAGCTGTGTGTCTGGGTGGAGCCCAAGTGGGCAGATACTGATTCTGCCCTCAGGATGCTTGTCCCCTGCTGGCAGGAAGAGGATGCACAGGGCCACCGGAGGGCAAAGCTGGGCCTGTGCAGCAAGAAGCATGAGGAGGCCAGAGATAGGGGATGCCTCCAGGAGACACTGTGTGTTGTGAGTGTGTGAGAGTGAATGTGGGATGTGTGTGGAGTACGTGGTATGAATGTGAATTTGTGTTAGTGTGTACTGTGTGTGCGAGTGTACGTGCCATATGTGTGTGTGTGCTGTATATGTGTGTGCTGTGTGTACTATGACTGCGTGTGTGTGCCATTTGAGTGCGTGTGTGTGCCATGTGTACTATTATTATGCGTGTGTGTCATGTGTACTATGACTGCGTGTGTGTGCCA